CTGCCGCAACTTGTTGCCTATTTTCTGCAGTGATTGTAGTCGTCTGTTGATGGTAATCTAACAACAGCCAGAGTGAGTGAGCCGGATCATGTTAACAAAGGGGATACCTTGTACAACTACATCAGCAACTGCGTCAGCTTCTCCTGCGGAATTAATTGCCGTACACCTATAGCGACCTGCGTCTGATATTTGAATTCCGATAAATCGAAGATTGCCACCTTCGGCGGAGCCGCTCGCGGGCATTTCTCGTCCGACAGGCGTCCAGGTTATGGAGATTGGCTGTTGTCCAGTTGCAGCGCATTCGATGTGTGCGTTGTCTCCAGGGCGTACGACTTGTTTTGGTGGGTGTAAAGTTATTCTTGGAGGCGCTACGAAGGTAGTTTATTGTATGTAGTTGTGGCATCATTTTATAACGAAAAGACTAATACTTTGAAAGAATCGAATGATACATGCATGTGATTTAAAATCATATAAAATGTGAAGCAATGTCAAATTAGGTCCAGTTGTCACAAAATGGAGTTAGTTGGTTCTCCGTATGTTGGTGCATAGTGACCCCAGTTTCATTCCAATGTTTTCATGCAATGGAAGTACCCCCTTCAAAATGTTTGAATTGATGATGAAACCGAAAAATACTATTTCTTTATCCAGTCGTTCAAAAATCAATGATATCTTCGCTAAAATTAAAATTTTGCCTATACTTTGGCAATACTTTTCATTTTTAAACACTATCATATGCCAAAAAGGTCTAGATATATTGTAAATTGAAAATCCTTATTTCTGATAAAGCGAAGTACACTGAATGTTAACATACCGTTTTCAGATCCCTATGTTCAAAAAATGCACCCTCCGTTCCGGTTGTTAAAATTCTTTGAAAACGGTACCCTAACGTTACATATGTGGTATCTAAACTGGTACTATTATGATAAATCGCGGAATACGATATATGGAATATAATATGGTATATTATATATGCCGGACAGGAATATGAAGAACGTACAACAAAAAGAATGATGGCTAAGGATGTAAGAGCGGCTGGTAGCTGTGGACAGTGATACACAAGTAATCTTTATGGTGAAAAATAAAAGGTTCTGGGGTTTTATCACCTAGTCAACTGCCCGTAACCGTTTTGTTGTGATAAGGAATCGGAATGTTGCTTCAAAACAATTAACTAACACCTAAAGCCGATCACAGTCTACCTAATTTGACACTGTGTCGAATGAAGTACAAGAATGCAAGCAGTAACACCGATGAAAACACAGTACCTCTTAGTGCACATATGTCTTCCTCGGCTGAATGAAACAAAAATTAATCTAAATAATAATCAAATCACTCGACTAGATTCAGAAGAGAGGTCATCTAAACGTACAACATTGTAAAAACATGTCTACTTACACACTACGACTAAGTGTGCACTGAAACTGAACACAATAGCACCCGATGGATGAACTCCGAGGCATCGATACTCTCCACCGTCGGTCGGCTGAACATTGTCAATGAACAATGTGCCACCTCTCACGACGGAATTTTCGGGCAACGTCGAGTTTTCGCCACGTACCCAATTAACATACAATGGATCTGAACCGGCTGAAAGTTAAGGAGTATTCAGCATCTTTGCTAGAACTTGGGGTGCAAACCGGTACCTTGTGTTTTTGTTTGACAGCGAAGCTCCGCACGTGTTCCAACGGGCGCAGTAAACGTTTTATCTCCATACGTAGGGATATGTTCGTTATCCTTATATGGTACTCGTGGCGTAACGTAAGGAGGGTACTGTGTTACTTCATTACCCGCGTTACCTGCGCTACCATCTTCACCTAGATTTCAATTAAAGATAGTATTGGTGTGGCTGTACAGTCAAACTTTAAAGTTAAAAGACAGACTTTTAAGTTTAAAATCCAATAAGTGAGGGTTAGAGGTGATTACAGATTAAAGTCAATTAGCTTTATTAGTAATAAAAGCGATTTCCTTTAAAAATTAGTCGCTAATTAGTACCTAGGTACCCAAATTGTAGAAACTAAAGGATTCAAATAAAGCATAGCACTGGAGAAAAGTAAATGGATATTATCAGTTCGATTTTGAGCTGAATGAAATAGTGAAAATTGTAGCAGAAAAGCTAATGACCTTTCAATATAAACTTATACAGAAAGGTACTTACTTTGGCTTATGCGGTTCAGTAGTCGCGAAAAAATACGAAACTATACATATACGTCAATAGTTTGTGAACCAATTTCCATCTATTTCATATAGTCTCTCGCTCATGTGTTGACATGTGCTAGAGAATAAAGAACCCGTTTGAAATTGGTTCACAAACTATAGTGACGTAGGGCTCTCCTTTCGTGAATGCAACTGTAACCCAAATTTTGTAGTGGTAATTATCAACTAGTTTTATTTAGCTGATTGGTGGACACTCAATTTGGATTTTACTTATAATAGGGGGTTCAAGTTCTCCTCTTTGAGTAGTTCAAATTATGTAGTACTTCGTTCGCAGTATGAAACTCATACATTTTTTAAAGCTGAAAAGTATAAGACGCTGCCTTTGGATTGGTCTAAGAAAGGTCGAATTTTGGATTGCCTTAAGGGAGGACAATTGAACATATCTCGTTTGGGAGTTATTTAGATATGTAACAGCTAACATTATTCTCTGAAATAGCATCGTTGTAGTTTTATACCTGCTTTTTTAAAATCTTATTAAAATGCAAAAATTTGGTGGCAAAAGAAATGAAAACAAACATTTTTTTTCCAAATATCAAGCTGAAGGATCAGAACGTTTCATTCGGGGGATGCACTTCCAAAGGCCCGAAATTTGTGTTTGCACGACGTTACCTAAGTTTTTGGGTACCTATGCGCTGTACGGTTTTCCTGTCAGAGTTTAATTTTGCAAAAAAATGTTACAGGGTTGGATAAAGAATTGAAAGACCTTTGCCATTAGAGTTGTAGTGGGGAGTGGGTGATTGACAAGGGGTTCTCCCGCTCTGAAATCCAACGTTGATGTGTTTCGCGATTTTGTATAGTCTCAAATACCAACTGATTGATTCAGGGTGGCTCTTGCACCTATAAGAAATTTGATAGGTATTAAATTTGGGATTTAACTCCCTTGAAAGACTTCTCAGGCCTCGAGTTTGAATCTGCATACAATCGGAAGTAAACGATCTTGCGTTTCTCGTACAATTTAGTTCATCTATTAATTGGAGTATTAATAAACTTGTAACAAATATAGCAAAGGAGCTTCAGAGTCACTGAAAATTTCATCAGTTTTTCCTTGAGTGATGTTGAACATAATACTGAAACAGAATTGAAAAATTCGAAACCGTTCGCGAGTTATCATGTACACAGGCGGACGGACGGACAGAAATCATGAACTTTCTTAGGAGCTCGTTAGTAAGCTTTGATCCTGGCTTTGATGATAACTTACGTAACGCAGATGGGGAAAACCACCTCCCATATGTTATGTTGTGCGATTTGAGAAAAATGCAATGCATCTGTTAGCAAAGGAGAGCTTTCCTGTTAATTTTTCCGAAACCGGCGAAAGAGTTCTCAATAACTTTTGTAAAAAAAAAGGACTAAGAAAACAGGTTCTTTAGGACCAGTAGGCCATAATGACGCTACTCTACTCATTTTCCATAAGTACCGATTTCCCACAAAACAATATTCCTCCAAAATGGACAAATGGAAAATTCACTGTGTCAAGTGTAATGTGAACAATCTGTACACAGGGCGTCGAAAGTGGAATGAGCAGTGAGTTTTTCCGTCGCAGATATCTTCTATTGGTGACATTGTTTGATATAGGTACTAAAAGGTTTTGACTTGAAAGGGTTATGTGAAAACCACCACCTTGAAAAATGGGTTTCGTCCTATATGCGCAGAGTTTTTTTTCTTAAAAAAAACGTTCTTGCACGTATCTTGAACAGTATTTTATAGAAAGCGTATGAAATGTTCAATATCGGTTTTGTTCCTACGGTTTACTGGTGATTTCTCTCATTTTTCTTGAAAAACTTCACTCCTATGTAATTTTCAAAGTATCAAATATCCCATTAAAACCAATCCATAGGTAGTGCAAGAGGAGACACTGTTTTAACTGCATAAGTACCTACATAACTTGATTCAGAAATCAAAGCAGGCTCAATGATATAGGTAGTACCTACAATTAATTTTTTATCTCTCAACATTGATTTTTCTTTGAATATTGTAAATTGGTTCTTCAACAAGAGCTGTAACACTGATTCAGTGTTTCAATACCTTTAGAATACCATGCCATGAGTATGTCATTTCATTGTACAAATAATTAGACATTTATTCCAAAGACATTTTGTGAGATGAGCTTTAATACCTTTCAATGCGTTGGCTTTCTGGGTAAGTTTACATGGAAAGAAGGGCGAATTTGCACTTTCTTAAGTAGAAGATTGAAATTTTAATGATGGGCGAGGTAAAAAGGTGTTACAGTAGAACCTATTTAATCTAATTTTAAACATGTTAATAATTTGGTTAGACTTACCTGGCCTTACTGTATTCCCAATTAGTACGAAGCACAAATGAAATTAAAACAAAACACATTAATAAATCGTGGTCACAAAACAATATACATTTTGAATAAAATATGATTTTAGTAGTGGCTTTTAACACTAGCTGATGTAAGCAGCAACAATGGGTTTCTTGGAAAATACGAGGAAGCTGTCGCACCTCAAAATTAAAAAAAACGAAACCCTTGTTAATCATATTTACAATGGAAAACTAAGCACAAAGCTAAAAATGACGTACCTGTAATATCACCTCGTTCTGGTACCGAGTCAACCACAAGACTGACTCGTTCCTCAGCAGTTCCTGCGCTATTTTGACCTTGACAAACGTAATATCCTTGATCGCTGCTGGTTACTCTAGTTATTTCATATACAGCGACATTGGGTACTAATCCACTCAAAGGACTTGCGTGACTAATGAAAACTATTAACTGGGAGCAATATTCACAACTATACGTACGATTCTTGAGCCGCACCACTGTAGGAAACGAACTGCTTCGACCACTGTACTGTAGGTTGAGGTACTCCTGTCGCTCTACACTCCAAACGAACATATTCACCTTCGCGAACATTTAAAATGCCACTACGCGGCGAGATCGTTAATGACGGTTGCGTGTGAACCTCAAGGTGTCCAATGGCTGTTGTTTTTCCGGCCGTGTTCTCCGCAGTGCACATATACTCACCTGCTTCCACCAAGCTGATTGAAGTAAATCTAAAGACGACCTATGTATCTGACTATCACAATGAAAACCAGAATATTACCTCAAAACCCCATTTGAAAGCTGCTCAATAGTGTTGCTCAAAGGTTGTCCGTTAGGTCTGCTCCAGTGCACGCTAGGTTGTGGACTTCCGGTAATAATACGACATTGCATAATAAGACTTCCGCCTGCTGTCACAGTCAGTGCCTTACTGGGATGAATTTCGATTACAGGAGCTTCCCTTCCTAAAATAACTGGAATTATCACATCTTTGCGTCAGTTTCGTAACATACGTTCCACTTCGATGATTGAAGAACTTTGAGCGACGCCATTTCTGTTACTTGCCACGCAAACGTATACACCACGATCACGGATCTGCACGTTTTGGATTTTCAGTACGGATCCTATTTGCTGAGCGTTGGGACCTAAAGGATCAGTAACTCGTGTCCACTGAATGGTAGGTGCAGGAACTCCAGTTGCTTCGCAGCGAAGTTCTATCGTTGAGCCTTGATCCACGGTTACTTGGGTCGGGTCCACACTTACTTTCGGATATTCCCTACAACATTTGAAATAAACGTCATGGCAATTGAGAATGCTAACCTACCCAGATTCTTCAGCAGAAATCGATACGTAAGCGGTTCCGTTGCCCCGAGTAGTTTGCGCTGTAACACTACAAACGTAAGTTCCGCTATCTTCAAGTTTCGCATCATAAACAGTTAGAACTCGTTCATCTTCGCTACGCGATGAGCTGTACGGGAGCGGTTGTCCGTCTTCTCTAGACCAAACCATCGAACGCCATGGTCGTGGGGCATCGCAAGTTAAACTAAACGTCTCCCTGATTTTACCATAATATTGCGCGGGCGTGATGGTAACTTTAATCGCTGGTTCGGGACTTTGCTGAAAGACTTGAATATACACGGTACTACCCTGTACACCTGCAGAATTCGTAGCGACACACTCGTACTGTCCTTCGTCCGATTTTTGAGCGTAAGGTATGCGGAAGACTCCGTTAATAAACGAATGCTGTCAATAATTTAATGTAGGAAACGTGCAACGCCGGTTCACGACTTACTCTTTCATTCATTTGGGGCCTGTCAACTCGTCGCCACTGTAACGACGGTGCCGGATTTCCTCTGGCCACGCAATGTACTTCAATCTGTTGATTTTCTTGGACTTGTATGTAGCTTGGTGTAATGGAGACAGTGGGAGGCACAGCGGGATTAGCTGAACAAAAAAACCTTGTAAACACTAGTCAACCATGGTTTCAAGTTAAAGTTACCTGGTGCAGCCAGTGCATTTTTTAATGACACTGAGCAGCATAATAATTGTTAATACGTAATTAGTATTTGGAATTGAATAAACATAAAGAAACTTACGTGGTCCCACAGTTACAGTTGTGTATTGCGTTACGATTACAAATCCGTCAGATGCCTGACAAACGTAGTTGCCGGAATCGGATACTACAACATCGGTGATAACCAAAATACCTCTACCATCGTCGATGGCGTGATTTGGAGCTAAGTGTCCTCCATCCTTGTACCATTTCAGTTGTACTGGTGACTAGAAAATGGACAAATTTTTCTTAATTTTTAGGTTTTTTTAAAGACTGAATACATTGATATAAGGAGGGAATACCCTGTAATTTTTTGTACCATGATGTTATTAAGAGAAATCGTTCTGTATCGTTTAGACTTTAACGGAGAACATGCCATTCACTCTGTTTGAGTGTGTCGATTGATATTATAAGTAAATTATACATAGACGTATAGTCCAGGAAACGAAACTTGGAAAGTTAAAATAGTATAAAACCTGGTAACTTTTTCAAAATGAATCGATTTGCATCAAAATTTTAAAATCTATATTATTCCGATGGCCGCTCTTAATTTTTTGAGGGTGAAAACTACCCCTCTTTGCCAAATCCCATAAAATTACATTAATGTGAGTAAAATTTGGTTCAGATAAGTTGAGTAATGATGGTTAGAGGCCTTAGAACATTATTTCAGAATATTTGAACCCTTAAAAAATCAACCTTTACAGTGGTGTAATACAAAAAAAGTATTTACCCTCAAAAAGTTAATAATTTTTTATTGACGACAGTTACCCAGTGTGCATTTCGAACAAAGTATCGTGTTCAAACCTCCTGGTAGATGGTGTATCAAACGTTGATATAAACATTAAACAGTTCATAGAGCAGGAATGTTTCTGTGTTTGTGCAAAGAAAAAGGTTCCGAGCAGTCGCGCACGTATAATCATATCGGAAAACTTAAAGGGAATTGGGACGAAAAGGAAATATGTTGGAGTGAAATGTTTAAAAATCCATCACTCGGAATCGATGCTGTCACCTCATGGCGTTTCGCAAAAAACAGACTGGCCGACATGATTTTTCTTAACAAAATTGGTGTAACTACAGATAAAAACTGTTTATGGTGCAACGAGGACGGTACAGCATGGCACTTAATAGTAGAGTGTAATTTAACAGATGAACTGTGGAAACAAGTCAAAATACTAGTGTGCAAATTATTAAATAGACAATCAGCAATGCCAAGTGATATGTATAGACTTTTCAAAAACAGAAACAACAATCCAGAAATTAATTTAGCAAACTTTTTGATAGTGTTAGCTATAAGTACTATATACAAACAATATATAGTTTACACAAAAAACAATGTGGTTCCGCGATATTAAAAAAATTATAAAACGCGATTAAAAAACAGAATCCTAACCGAGTACCGATGGCATCTAACAGATGGTGATGTAAACATTTTTGTCTTGAAGTGGTGCGCGGGTGGTGTTTTGTGCAATTTGGGCGAGGACGGAGAGCTCTGTGTAGCGGAGGACGTAGACTGATTTATATAGGATAATCAAATATGCAACAAATTTTGGTTTTTATGTATGTAGGCAAAGGTATCTGTAAGTAGTTGGAAAATGTACAGTTTTTAATAAATAATAATAATAATAATAATACACATTCTCCTTTCCGTTCACATATGGAAGGCGAATGTGTATTTGCGCGCGACTGAATGTCTTACGCACATATCACTTAAAGGTCAATTTCGTAGCCTATAATAATTTACGGAATGGTTATGGAATGGATATGGTATGGAAACGTTATGTATAGTGAGAATCAGCCTCTAGTCTCCCAAAATTCAAAAACAATGTTGTAACTTACATGATTTATTAACGATTTATTAAGGAGGCACGTACAATCGATTATTAATTAATTGTATTTATCCGTATGAAACCTGAGCATACGCTAAGAGTATTGCCAATCTGTAATAAAAATGTGGCCACGAAATGGAAATGGCTGGCTGTGTAAAAGATGAAGAAAAAATATTTCAATTTCTGGGAAATGTTAAGCCTATACCTTTCCTTATTTGTTTTATCTTTTATTTGACATAACATCCAAGTTTTCGTATACATAAGTATATCATGTGATCAACTAAAATTAACGCTACTACTTGATAGTTCATTGAATTTCAAAATTCTCGTAGATTTCAATAATGTCGGAATTTTATTACAAGTTGTGACTTGTAAGACATAAAATGTATACTTTCACACATTTACATGGATAGTATCCTCACACCCGAAAACTTTTAATGTCAGACATACGAATACCGATTTAAAAGCATCGTAAATTTAGGCATTTTCAAATAAAAACCCGAAATAGCAGTATAGCGTGTATCATTGATGCATGTAAAATAAGTAATCTTTGTAAATATCCAATAAAGTTCACTTTTTATAGACATTGTCTGCTTGCTTCACCAATAAGAGAGAGTCTTAGGAAATTGGTTTAGTATGCATTAGATTGAATAACAATCAATTCGATTTATTTTATAACTTACCTGACGATTGCCATGAAGTTTTGCGACAAATTTGTGATGAACCGCGATACGCAAATTTGCACGTGTCACAATTTACCGTTTTACATTTACTTCCACAACCGACACCTTGAACTTGTATACTGTTAAAATTGAACTTGGCGGCTCAATCTGCAAGAGATTCTTTCTCGATTGGCCATATATGTAGAAATGTGACTCAGCTTGCTCGTTTCGAAGTACGTTGAAATTTTCCAGATTAACTATCGTCTTAATACAGTTAGACTTTACTGTTATGTTTTGGTTTTGTTTCATTGACTCGATTTATTTATTTGTAATACGAATGTAATTTTTTTGTAATTTTTAACTGTCGATCAAAATGTGCCATTATGAAAGTGTAACAGGATGCCAAGTATACAGACGTTAAGTAAGAAGTGGTATTTCCATTTCACCGTAAGGCATCAGGTACTTAATGGACCTATTTACCATTTGCCAATACACCTACACGATTTCGGATTGGTATCCGTTACGGTAATTGAAATGCAAAAAATCCGGCGGAATTCCAAAGAACTGATCTGGTTTCTTTTAGTTAATCGATACGTTCTTAAAATTGTTTGAGTAATTCCATAATAAGAGTCGTTTACGATCCGTTCCTAAATAAATTATTTCTAAAATAAAATGGATTTTCATTCATACTTGCAGAACTAGTCCGGGATAGGATACAATATATACTCGTATCATGTGGAGAACAGGGTAAAATAGGGCGTTGCAAGAAAGTGCATGGCACTGGCAGTTGGAGGGAATGTGGAACGGAGGTATATTGTACAAGAACCATCACTTAGGCTTCGTTTACCAAAATTTCGGGTAAATAGGACAAACGCATTTAGTCTTTTTCCTGAAACCTTTACCATAGGTTATTTTAGTAAAAGCTCGTTTGCACATTGCACTGGAAACCCATTGAACGTGTATGGTAAAAATTGAGCGTTTGATACGTGGAGCAAATTTCTGTTTGACATATCTGTTTGATGACTGATCCTTCTAATAAGTGCAAATGCATTGTAGGTGGAAATACTGGGCTTTTGACTTCATATCTCGTAGTTTGACAATCATTGAGTGCGCATGGCTAGAATTCGCTCTGTGTTTTGTGACCGGAAGCGTATAACAAAGAATTTCGGGCGAGCGATTGGTTTATGTCGATCTCACCTTCGGCTTGCTCGGCATAGGCTTTATTTTGGGACCGGAACCATGTAACGCTCCACAATTTCGAGCGAGCAGTTTGATTTAAACCGATCTCGACTTTGGCTCGCTCGGCATTGGTATGAACTCTTTGTTTTGTACCAAAAAATCGGCAGATGGAATTGTGTTTCGGACCTATGGTGTTGCAAATGTAATTAGGCACCTTTGAAGCTTTCTTTAGCGGTTCCACCGGTTACGTGTCCAAATTTTAATAATAATAATAATAATATCATTTATTGAGATGCACAAAGATGTTACAAAGAACTTTCATTGCAATTTCGAATTTTTAATTGGATGAATTGTTAATATCCTATGAACAGTTATGCTTAATAATTTCTGTTAGACTTGGCCTTGGCATTGAACTGCCAAATATCAGCTGATTGATAACAATTTCCAAAAGTTGGGGATTTTGATACCAATTTTCTTCAATTTTTTAAGTGTGACTGGCATGGAATAGTTCTCAAATTTACAAAAAAGGATTTGGTATTTAATCCACCATCATCTCATCTTGGGGATTTAAAGTAAAAGCCGAGTGGAAGATAATTAATTCAGTTAAAGAAGAGTGTAATTAACCATTTAATTAATTATTTTATCGTCACATGACGGAGATTTGCAACTGTCCATGTGGCACACATTCTAATTCAGCTCAATAGCATCACGAGGTGATATAATTTTCTTAATTCTCTATTTAGATTGTAATATTTCCATCCTCACTTGCAGCTGTTTCGACCGGATTCATTTCTACCGAATATTAATACCAGATTTGTTGCGTACCGACCGTCAATGTACCCCACGTATTTGCACTAGTATTGATTCAGCTTTGTAGTTTCCTATGCTAAACCCTAGTCTACATTCCCTAATTCAACAGAAAACGAAGGACAAAACTTTACTATCCAAATCGAATTTGACACCGGAAGATAAGATGAATTCCGCAAAAAAAAATTGTCTCAAAAGTTATAAAGAAATTCCAGACAGTGCAGCCACAAAAATCTACCTCCAAATTATGAACAATTTAATTAAAAGTTTGATCAGTAAAGAAGAAAGTCTTTCTAATCGATTATACAGCATTTGGTAGTAATATTTTGGCGCCAATGGATAAAGGATCACGGCGATTTTAAACTAAAGGACAACTCCATTTCTTCCAATTTATATGCTTGCATTGAACTGAACGGACACATGTTAATTAAACTCATTCGATTATTTAGAGAAAAAGATTACTTAACTGTAATATGTTTTGTCCTTGACTATACAGTAGTCAAATCTCTGAACAACTGTTTAGAACCGCACGATCTCTTACTTCAACTTATTGCACTATGGTAAATTTCAGCATTAAGGAGTTGTGATCTAGAATTAATCGGATAACACTGATCAACAAAATTCAAATTGACTTGGGGGAATTGTTCACTTTTCCAAGAGAACAAAAAAAAATGCATTTCGCATATGGTTCAGGGAGATGAGATTAACAATATGAATATTGGCACAAAAATTCCTCGTGCAAAAAAAGATGCA